CAGGGAAGTTGTGCAATAGAACAGATTTTAAGAGCTTGAATGTGGAACTCTGCCCTTTAAAAGTCCTTAATCCTGAAAGCGTGTCTGATCAGAATGTATTTCGTCGCCGCTGCAGCTAAGCAAGAGCCTCGCCTCACCGGGGAAACGCCATCGGAAGCCGCTGGCGTCCATCTCTACGGCGCCGATAAGGAAGCTGTCTGGTGACAGGGTAAGCATCCCTTATCCAAAATGCTTGGAACCAAAAGTGTTTTAGATTTTAATTTTTTTTAACTTTGAAATATTTGCATTTATATTTACATCCCAAATCCAAAAACCCCAAATCCAAAATGCTCCAACAAGCATTTCCTTTGATCTTCACACCAGTGCTCAGAAAGTTTCGGATTTTGGAGTTTTCGGGATTTGGGGTGCCAGACCGGTACCTGGGATAGAACTGGCTCTTGTTCCAGCTAAGCCGGGAAAGGATAAAACTCAGTTATGTCAAAAATCATGATCCTAGAGTTTTTAATAGCTCCACTGCTTTTCCTCCCCAACACCCACAGGCTACTGAATCGTGCCCTTTCGAGATGCACTTCCAGAAGTTCCCACCAACACTTCCCCCCCGTCCCCCGTGTGCCCCTGGCATGTTACAGAGCTGGGCTCAGGGTGTGGCCTGACATGGCACAGCCGTGCGGCGCGGCCACGAGGACCTCTGTCCGGACAGCCGCCTACAGCCAGCCGTCAGCTCGGCAAGTCTCGGTCCGCCACGCGGCAGCACGGCCGTTGCTGGACACACGCACGTTGCCAGACATGACTGATCTGTGGCTACGGTGTCCAGCGGTAGCTGGGAGGCTCTGGGCAGCTTTTCCAGAAGACGGTTCCATTGCACGAGCAGCACCCGGCCTGCTCTGGAGTCTGTCACCACCTTGCAGGACAGATGGGCGGGCGCAGGCTCCGCAGGGAAGCGAGGTTAAACAGGGCCCTTTTCTTTTTCAGGTGGTGTTAGAAGAAACTCAACATTAAGAGTGATGTCTTTTTTTTTTTCCAGAATGACCCATTACTATGATTTTTACCTTAAAATGGATGGGGAAGAGTCAGCCCGATTTAGTTCAGCAGCTCTCTGAGATGTCAGCATCTCTGCTGAGACCGCTGGCGTCAGAGCTCTTTGGATTGGAAGGCAGGGATTTCCCAAGGGATGTTTCCCCCACTTTGTGGGAATTCCACTAAGAGGCTCCCCGAGGATTGCGGACAGGGCGTCCGTCCTTGTCACTGTGAAATAACTGGAAATTCCTACTGATTAGGGCATTTCGAAGGACTTTTCCCTGACTGATATTCGTTATTAATGCCAATCTTTCCCGAGCCCCCCAATTGGGGCGTCAGAGTCAGACGAAGACCACAAACTAAGCAGAACGCGTCCTGGGAAGGAGTGTGGTGGGAGCGGGAACAGGTTCTCTTCTCACCGGCAGTTAGGAAATCACCTAGTAAGAACAAGGTTTAATTAAATACAATATATCTAGCATTTTCCCCCTGAAGGACACACACTTCTTCCTGACCCTATACCTATCTAAGCAGTTTTTTAAGCTTCTATTGCTTTCTTCACAATGTGAATTTAAAAATACAACTGTATGATTTCCCAACATGGACATTAGTTTATATATTGAATGTGGACATTCATTAAAAATTAAATCTCACACTTCACTATAATACTACTGGTTGCTAAAAAGAACCTTTCTTTCAAATAGTCACAGTCAGCTTTATTTTTTTAAAAAAAATGTGTGTTAATAACTCCGGAAGCTTCTGGAAACCTCTGTTCCTTACCGGCCGCATCTTCCCCCGTGACGCATCTCTGACCCCCGCCGTGAGGTCGCAGGTTCCCTGGAAGTGGCGTCTGTGCGGCGCCCGCTTTGCGCTTTTACTGGCACAGCAAGCAGCCAACACATCGTGGGGTTAATTAAGAAAGAAAACCCGTAAGCGTAAGAAAAATTATATGGAGTCTTAGAGACTGAGAGGGAACCCCGGGATTTCTGTGTGATGATCGAATGTGTTGATTCGCTTTCAGCCGTTCACGCGAATATTGTTTTCAAGGTTATTTCCTCTTAGGCCCCAGTTGAAGTGAGTCCACGGGCTCTGGGCACACCCGGCCCTGGCGTGCGGGGACAGGAAGGAAGCCCCAAGCCAGGTGCCCCGTGAGGCTCGCGATCCGTGCTCCGAGCCGATGCACGTTTCCTCGGTATTCTCTAAAGCACGGAATATGGTGTTGGGGCGACATCGAAACATGCAGG